GAGAGAGAGAGAGAGCGAGAGCAGGAACACAAGCAAGGGGAGTAGGAGATGGAGAAGCAGGCTTCCCACCGAGCAGGGAGCCTGATGCGGGGCTCGATCCCAGGACCCTGGGATCATGACCTGAGCTGAAGGCAGATGCTTAATGCCTGAGCCACCCAGGTGCCCCTGCTTTTTCTATACTTACAAACTAGTCTATTTCTTTGCTTTAGGCTTCAGATTTTCATGCCATGTCAGCCCTGCATTTATTTGAACCTATTTGAAAAAACATTTGCTAGGTTTTAACACTTACTGATTGAAAACTCACAATAATAACCACTTCTTGGGAAATGATTCTTTTGATTCATTCCATTATTATGGTTGACACAACTGAAAATGAATTCATATTTCTAGCTTAAACTTTCTTTTCCCAAATCACTATAGAATAATTCCCTTATCATATGGATTTCTGACAATTAAGTTACTGCTAGATTAAGGGCCCATAAAAGAGAGCTATAATTCTTAAGTGGTGTGAGTAAAAAAGGAGGAAGGAGAAGAGAAAATCTCAAAATCATCTGGGGAGTTTTGACAAACTCTTTGTGCCCTGGAGAGGGATCTGGGCATGTGAGTTTGAAAAATCATTCCAGAGGGGCGACTGGGTGGGGCAGTCGGTTGAGTGGGTCCAACTCTTGGTTTCGGTTCAGGTAGTGATCTCAGTCTTGTGAGATAGAGCCCCGCATCAGGCTTTGTGCGCAGCATGGAGGCTGCTTGAGATTCTCTGTACCTCTCTGCTCTTCTTTTCACTTGCGTGTGCCAGCGTGTGCACGTGCGCTCTCTCAAATAAATAAATCTTAAAAAAAAAAAGAATTCCAGAGACTCTAATCTCCTCTAGTACCCATTACAGAAATGGTGACTTAACAGAAAAACTGATAAAATGTTAAAAAACATTTATCCATGGTCCTTCCTATATATAGACATATGTCATAGTACATGGATAAATACCTTATGTGTTCACATTATATCTAGAAGAGAGAAACAATAATGCTAAAGGCAATATTGGTTTTAAATAGTGATGGTGAATGTCAGAAGACTTTATTTAATAAGGTCATAAAATTATTGGTTAAATAATGCCTGAAATGAATGCTAGAGACCTTAATACTTGAACATGATTATATTCCAATAAGAAAACAAAAACCAAAACAAGAATGACAAAAGTTTTCTGGGATATCCAAAAATATCTGGATTAGGAACTTATAAAAACAAAATTTAGTAAGGATCGATGAAAGGATCAGGTACGTAAATTTAAGCGATATGTGTTTTTATAGGTCTTCCTGAATATAAATCAAACCCAAATTTGAGGAATTTTGCAATGACTACCTTTTAAAAATTAACTTAATAATTTCACTTGCATATATCTAAAAGGAAATGCCAAATGTTTCTTTGCAAATGGCTAGGTCATGCAAATTCTGACGCATTGTTTTGACTCTTACCTAGCTATAAGGCTTTAGACAACACTTCACCACTCTACCCATTTCCTCATCAGTAAAGGATGGGATTCGGCAAGATACTAAGAAACTTCTAGCTCTGACACTCAGTGATTCCATAAATACTACTTTTTCTCATTCCTCCATTCTTAATTTATAGGCCTACTTGAGTATCTACATTGTTCAAAATATGCCCTTCTTTGTATGTGAAGCTACTGTTACTAAGTCACATTCTGCAGTAAAAAACAAGCATTTTGAACTCTGGGTTGGCTTTGCAGCAGTGACAATAGATTTACACAGAACTTTCCACATTTTTTTTGGTCCGAATCTCTGTAAGATAGGAGAGGAAAGGAGGATGGGGTGTAATCTGTATGATTTCTCTTTAGGACCAATAGGGCCCCAAAGCAAGTAGACCTACAACCTTACCCTCATTTCAACATAGTCTAAAGTAGTGGTTTCTAGAAAATTTTTTTTATTGCACATATCTCTCAGTAAATAATTTTTGTTGTACACCTAAATATACACATTTACTTCTAAGTTAGAAATGCATTATTGTCGGGGCGCCTGGGTGGCTCAGTTGGTTAAGCGACTGCCTTCAGCTCAGGTCATGATCCCGGGGTCCTGGGATCGAGCCCCGCATCGGGCTCCCTGCTCGGCCAGAAGCCTGCTTCTTCCTCTCCCACTCCCCCTGCTTGTGTTCCCTCTCACACTGTCTCTCTCTCTCTCCCTGTCAATTAAATAAATAAATAAAATCTTTAAAAAAAATGCATTATTGTAATGACATTACGTATGTTCTAATATACACATAAATATAGAAAGTAAAAAGGATATTGATACATACAAAAGATCAAAATATTCCATCCCCCAAAGCATTATCTTGCACACCCTACTTTTTATACCACTGCCCTAAAAAAAATGCTGAGCATTTTACAATACTTGAAGTCATATCCACTGCCTTTTCTAGCAACCTTCTTCCAAAGACCATTTCTATCTTCCACACAACCATACACTCACCATCCTTCCCTCGTATTTGGAATTTAATGTTTTCCTACTTTAGTGGATTGAATTTGAATATAGACATTTGGAGATACAGAAATCGTAAGCCTTCCTGTAACAGGTGGGTAGGGAAACTTCTCAGTACATGGGTAAGGATGGCCTATTGTAGAGCTAAGTATTTTGACAAAATGGGGAGACTTTAGAATTTGGAGTTACACAGAGAATATTGAAATAAATGCCCAACATTAGTAGAGAGCAATCATTTTTAAAAATTAAGGAGATTATGTGTAGCTATTAAAAGTCATGTTTTCAAATATGTTCAAAGTCACATTGTGAACATTTAAATTTTATTATGTGAATTTGAAACATACAAAGTCCTTATTTTCTTAAATAATGTATGTGTGTGCATATATGAATTAATATGTACATATATATGGTGATTATAGGAAAATATTAACAGTTGTTACATGTAGGTAGTATAATTAAGGTATTTTTGTTTTCTTCCCCATATTTTCCTGTATTTATCCAATTATCTGCAATAGTATATACTGATTTTATAACCGGGAAAAAAAACTTGAAATATTATTTAAAGAAAACCCTCCACATTTATAAAAGCCAGTATATTTTCTGTTTATAATTAATTTACTGAGCCTGGAAAAGAGATGCATTTTACTCATATAAACATTAGTCTTCTCTGAGTACAGAAGCCATCAGTTTAGATAAACAAACCATTATATTGAGGACCTATGTGGAGTAAACTTGCTAGTTACTTAAGCCCATGATTAGGCTCAGGGGAAGTACTTACACGGTAAATTTAAGCCAACAACAAAAATCTGTAGTTACCAAATGGAACCACCAGGTGCTACTGTTGCTTTGCAGAAAGGAGAAGAACACCTAGCACCAATAGGTTTCTTATTTAGAATAGATAGGTGCTTTCACCTGCTCAAGGATAACAATAAAATCTTCTCAGAGGCATAACAATTATTTCAAAAATTTTATGTTCATATCCCCACAGGTAAATCAGAAGAGATTTGGAGGTACAGTTCCCATCAATTTCCTATATATGGGATTGAGAAAAGAGAACATACTGTATCAAGAAATAGATTTCAACCATAAAAGCTAACTTTACGTTTTGAAATATCCAACTAATAGTAGCATTTTAAGGCTGTTCACCACTGTTTTCTGTGAGAAAGTTCATTCTTCATTCTAACTCTGAATGGCAGGGATGTAAGTCTCCACCCTGGCTCTGCTACTTTCAACTGTAAGGTTTTGGCAGTTAACTGCTCCATCTATAAAACAGTAATACCAAGCTTATACAGTTATTTTAAAGACTGAATAACATCATGTGCATAAACAGGGTTATTAGACAACTTATTACTTCTCTCTGCAGGGATAAGAAGTTCCCAGCTTCCTTGGCCACTGAGGCTACATCTAAGTGAGACAGGAAATCTCTGCCCTGATGCTAAAAAGGGTGCTAGACTTAATATCTTAGAACATGGGTCTTTTTCTAATTCAGGATCTATCATTTATGAGGAGTGGACCATGACAAGTCACTTCATCCATTGGGCCTTCTGGTTTCTCATCTTTGAAATAGGGGATTGGGCTAAATGGCTCTCAGGTCCCCTCCAGCCAAGAATCCTATGGGTCTATAAAACCTGTACCACAGAAGGTATCATTCTATTTGTGCCTAATACACTTTCCTGATGCAACATTTCACAGGTATTAAAGTTGGGGGGCAAAGGGCTGTGGGACACATGGGTGCGACCATCCAATCATTTAGTACTTGAGCTCCTTTCATGTACCAAACATAGTGCTAGACTCTGGGGATATAAAATTGAAGATGATACCATCTCTTCCTTCAAGTAGTTTTCAGTCAAATGGAGGAATAGATACAGATATCCAAGTACAAGGCAACAGGGTGAGGGCGTGGACTTGAGTATATATCTAAGGAGGCGGACAGTTGATCTTCAGTATGCTGTTGATCAGTTAGTTTCATGAAATTCAAAGTAATTCTGAGGGACTTTTCTGATTTGCCTAAAGTTGTTTCCAGGATGAAGAAATTTCTGGGTCATTCTGTGGCTGTTACCAACTTCTGGCTTAAAGAGACCTAGGTAAGATACTTTCTGAAGTACACACTCCTGGGTTTTATAATCTATATGAAAATGAAAAGTGAATAGCCTATAGCATAGCGGAAAGGAGACAGATCGTTGTTTGGAATAGACCAGTGGAGCTTCTTCTGCCATTTAGCACAGATGTTCACATTCAATTTCAGTCCCATTATCTTTCTAAATTCCCTCTCCTCCTTAGTGTTTGTCACTGACCCTTTTCTCTTCTCTGCAAATTGCTATGCTCAGTTTTCCCAAATTTTTCTCAACTGGGTCAGCAGCTCTAAACACCCACTGCCTCTGTGCTCTTGCCAATATGCCTTTATTGATGTGAGACTCCCAAACCAGGGCATTAGAAGGCTGGAGAAGAAATGGAAGAGCAAATACCAGCCGCTGCCATCTGGCAATTTCAAAAGCTACCAAGTCCCCCTCTGCTTACCAGACTCTCTGTAGTAAGCTCCGGCAAATCCTGGATGGTACAGCAAGGGTAATCCAGGACCGAGATGCTGCAAAATGCAAAGAAAGGGGCCGGCTTTAGGGAAATGGAAATGGCAGTATCTGAAATGGCAGGAATTATTTCTCTCCAGCAGGCCCCATCTATTTCCCAAATTGCTTAGTGACCTCAGCTGAAACAGGGTTTGGGGTGCCAGGCAACTCCAGCTCCAGTCTCCTCTCCTCACAGTCACGAGAGGAACCCACCGAGTTCCTTCAGGCCAGCCCCCATCTAGCAGATGCAAAAGAAAGCAGCAAGAGAGCCTCTGGTGTAGCCACCTCTCTCCTTTCTTCTTTAAAGAGTACGGACACAGGTGCACTTCTGTCTTTGCATTTAAGTGTATGCTTGTGTATACGTGTGAACTGTGTTCCCAGAGATGCTGCCCAAACTTAACCCACTTAGTAACAGTCTGTGGACGTAAGGATGAAATGAAGACCTTTCCTATGTCCTTTACCAAATGTTTCTGAAAGCCAGGAGCTCTGGGAAATGATCACGGAAGACATTCTTGAAGGAAGCTTAAGACAGAGGCAGCTTCCTGCAGCAGGGCCAATCTAGTAGCTCAAGAATGGTAATAGCATTGGGGCATCTGGGTGGCTCCGTCAGTTAAGCGTCCAGTCCAACTCGATCTCGCCTCAGGTCATGATTTCAGGGTCATGAGATCAAGTCCCACATTGGGCTCTGTGGTGGGCATGGAACCTGCTTAAGATTCTCTCTCTCTCTCCCTCTGCCCACCCCTCCCCGCCCCTGGTTGCACTCATGCATGTTCTCTCTCTCTTAAAAAAAAAAAAAAAAAAAAGGAATGGTAACAGCATCTGCCTCCAGAACTGACAGTGGGGGACTATAAGGGAGCTGGAGGCTCTGTGGTGAGCCCAGGGAAGCAGGCATGAGTAGGTAGGGGAAATGAGGCACTGCATTATGACAGGGACATAGTTACTCAAAATTACAGTTCTTTCTTTCCTTTTCTTTTTCATTGGTACAATGCAGAACTTAGCTCATCTCTAATGCTCCTTCTGATTCTGACATTCCATAAGGTTTATAACCAACCCATCTGAACTGGATCAAGGATGTTGGCAAAGCAAGGGCCATAAAGAGGAGTATGGGGTTTCTTGGACCTGCCTCTACATTTCTAAAGTCAAAACTCTATCCAAGCAAAAGGCAACAATTTATTTACCTAGAAATGTTTACCTTTGCCCAAGAAACCCACAATGATAACCTAGGGGAACCAAGGTAGGAGAAGAGACGGCAGTGGATCTACCTATAACATTGCTCATCATCTTAATTCACTCTACTGGATTCTCCCAGGGCTGCCAGTTCTGTACTTACTGCTCCATTAGTATAAACATTCTTGGCTGGCTTATCCACTTATCTACCCACCTCCCACAAAGCCCCATGGCAAAGTAGATGCTGGCAGCCAGGAACCGGGCCAGGAAATCAAAGATAGATTTGTCCCATCCTCTGTGAACTGAATTCTAGCCTAAGGGGGTGAAAAATAAAGTTACAAGTTTCTGGAATGTCTATCTAGATTATAAGAGCCATGAGCAAAGTGTGCAATAAGGGGCTATGGGTGCTCAAGTTCTCAGGGATTATGCCGCAGTAAAGCTTGCAGGTGGTGCAGAGGAGAACCATCTTACCCAGGCCAAACTTAGTTAATGATGTAGTCTGGCACTGCCACTCTTCCAATTCCAAATAGAACCTAGTGGACACCTATCAGATTATTTACTCCTCCCCTTCCAGGCCCATGGTGGAGGGTGGGTATTTAGTTTGTGAACTCTGGCCATACTTGATTGATCCAGGGGTGGATCTCTAATGGAAATGGGGAACAGGACTCTCATGTTTATCTTAACTGATACTTATATAAAAGCTCTATGATACAGTCAGGAAATGTATTATTTTAATTTAATTTTATTTTTTTAAAGATTTTTATTTATTTATTTGTCAGAGAGAGAGCGAGCGAGCACAAGCAGGGGGAGCAGCAGAGGGAGAGGGAGAAGCAGACTCCCCGCTGAGCAGGGAGCCCGATGTGGGACTCGATCCCAGGACCCTGGGATCATGACCTGAGCCGAAGGCAGACGCTTAACAACTGAGCCACCCAGGCGTCCCAGGAAGTGTATTATTTTAATTTTAAGATAAAAATAGTGTGGCTCAAAAAAACCAAAGAGTCTTTACTTGAGATTACATAGCTAGCAAATGGCAGGTCTCATGACTTCAAGTTCCATGTGTGTATGTGCACTTTATTTTATTTTTTAAAGATTATTTAGGGGCACCTGGGTGGCTCAGTCGGTTATACATCTGCCTTCGGCTCAGGTCATGATCCTAGGGTCCTGGGATCAAGCCCCTCATGGGGCTCCTTGCTCAGCTGGGAGCCTGCTTCTCCCTCTCCCTCTGCTCCTTCCCCTGCTTGTGCTCTCTCTCTCAAATAAATGAATAAAAGCTTAAAAAATTTTTTATTTGAGAGAGAGAGAGCAAGTGGAGGGAGAGGGAGAGAAAGAATCTCCAGCAGACTCCCTGCTGAGTGAGGAGCCCAATGCAGGGCTCCATCCCAGGACGCTGAGCTCATGACCTGAGCTGAAATCAAGAGTCAGACACTCACCCGACTGAGTCACGCAGGTGCCTCTGTATTTTAAACTACATATAAGTAGGCTGCCTCTCCATGGTGAACTTTTAGGCAGTATGAGACTGAGGCACCATCTCCTGGCCCTCTCTAGTCACCCCAAGTAATCAGATCAGCCTCCTTCTACTTTAGGAACTCTGCCTCTGGTAAACTCTAGTTAACATGCTTCTAGTTCTTGTGGAAGTAGCAAACTAAAAAACAAGCATTTACTCTGTAACTCCCAAGTCCCCAGTTGGCTGGAGGAGTGAAAAGCAATTTGTATTCATAGTAACTGTGACCAGAAAACAATCTGTGGTTTTTTTTTTTTAAAGATTTTATTTATTTATTTGAGAGAGAGAGAATGAGAGAGAACACATGAGAGGGGATAGGGTCAGAGGGCGAAGCAGACTCCCTGCCGAGCAGGGAGCCCGATGTGGGACTCGATCCAGGGACTCCAGGATCATGACCTGAGCCGAAGGCAGTTGCTTAACCAACTGAGCCACCCAGGCGCCCAAACAATCTGTGTTTTGATCCTGCCTCTTACTTAAGTCGTCTCACTAGCATGTTAATCTTGAGCAAGTCAATTAACCTCCCTGAATTTGTTTACTAATTGGAGAAGTGAGAATAAAACTTGTTGTAATATTTCTTACCATTACTGAAGAGATGAAATAAAATACCATATATTTGTTTTATTACAAACTGATCTAAGTAAGGGTCTGTTATTACCTTGAGTTACAAATTCTACATAACACTACAGTTTACAAAGTAGTATAATTGTTACAACTTATGATTTATAAAGATCAGGGCTGGCCAGATAAGGCTGTTTCACAAAAAAAACATCTTCTGGATCCTTCTGCCATAGGGCTAAAATTTCATCGCTGCAGTTTTATTTATTTGAGTTGTGACATTTTTTAGTTTTCAAAACTATTAAAATACAAATACCTCTGTGAAGAGGCCAAACCACACAACCCATCAATTAACACTTCAAGGAAATTAAATTTAACAGTGACAGCTCTAAGATAGAAAGGACTAGGGACACAAGGAGAACTGAAAGGCTCAGAGATGATGTATATTTCCCAACCCATCCCAAAACAGACCTTTGAAATAAACCTGTCCAGAGTCCATACCTGTTTTTGGCAGTGATGTAGGACAAGATATTTTGATTGAAGAACTTCAGGATCAATGGAATGCAGTTGGCAAATACCAAATGTTGTGATACATATTCAAACTGAATTAAAAGATCAAAGCAGAAAGGGCTGCTTATTTGGGGGATAATAGAAAGTACATGAAAAATAGGATTGGCAAGTACAACTCTAATATCCATTCCTAAGAATATCCACTGCCCACTTGTGTTATCAGTCCTCCTGTCTGAGAAGTGGGGAGAAGCATCATCAGCCAGCTCATCCTGCATGGAGGGGGACAATCTGCAGTGTGTGTATGTTGTAAACACCTGACCAAAAGCACAAAACATAAAGAAGGCAGAAAGAAAATCCCACTCCAAATAAATGGAAGGAATTGCTGCAATATTTGTTCCTAAGCTCAACCAGAAAGGAAGGCTCCCTGAGGGAGTGGTCTTCCATACCAAACCTCTGGTTCATAGTGTTTCAGCAGTGATTGACAGAGCAGGAACAGGTGCAGCTTACTCCCAACAACTGCTGGCACCGTTCAGTCCGGACGGATACGGCACATAGCAACCAGCTGAACCACTGGGATGTGGACTCTAGCATGAGTCTGTCTGGTTCACTGCATTACCCCTGTACTTACATTATCAGTATTTTATTTTATTTTATTTTTTAAGATTTTATTTATTTATTTGACAGAGAGAGACACAGCGAGAGAGGGAACACAAGCAGGGGGAGCGGGAGAGGGAGAAGCAGGCTTCCCGCCGAGCAGGGAGCCCGATGCGGGGCTCGATGCCAGGACAGTGGGATCATGACCTGAGCCGAAGGCAGATGCTTAACCGACTGAGCCCCCCAGGCGCCCCCGTTATTAGTATTTTAATGAATGGATCAACAAGAGCTCTTCGGTCAACAGATATTGCACTGGGGTGCTTGAGGGGCTCAGTTGGTTAAGCGTCTGCCTTCGGCTCAGGTCATGATCCCACCGTCCTGGCATCGAGCCCCGCATCGGGCTCCCTGCTCAGCGGGGAGCCTGCTTCTCCCTCTCCCTCTGCCTGCGTGTCTGCCTACTTGTGATCTCTCTCTCTGTCAAACAAATAAATAAAATTAAAAAAAAAATAGATACTACACTGAGAATAAGTCCAAGATTTCTTTGATGGGCTAAGTCCAAGATCTCTTTGATGGGATAAACACCAGAAATAGGGGTTCCATTTTGCTCTCTTGAATTTGGATGGGGTTTGTATCTAGGAAGACCTAGTGGGCAGTGTCCTGGAGTGCAACACCTGGATTTTGCCTGTGATGCACTGAGTATCAGACACAGTTTGCCTCCAGATCCAGAACCCAGACTGCTGGGATAGTACAGACACTGGGTTGAAAAAGCAGAAAACTGTGGTGTTTTAAATCCCTTAGCTTTTCCTGATCACCAAGAAGTAGCCATGGCAGCAAGCCAAACTGCCCTCTGCCCCTGGGTGTGTGGTTAGAGGTGGGGAGTCAGCTTGTGCTGCCCATTTCTCTCTTCTGCTCAAATATTTCCTCCCTGGCAGCTGACCTGGGGTATTTTCCAAAGCTCCAGATGGAGCAGCCAATACATACCCACTATGAAGTTATGGAAAATGGTTTTCAACTTGAAATTTGTCTGTAGCCTTGTTGGGATTCACTGACACTGACACACACTGGCAAGGCCCATCAAGCCACCCACCTGTCTGGCTGTTGATCCACATACTGCCCACCAAGAGAAGCAGACAGAAAAAACATACCCACGGTTCTCTGTTCTTTCTACTAGGAACACTATCTCCCACCCACCCGTACTCCTCCCCGACCTGCTGTTGCTCAGCAAACACTGGCAGAAGAAGTGTGAGCACCCAGGACACCCATAATATACCCAAAGATGTCTCTGAATGTACTAGAGTGGAGAAATACCCTGATTATATAGTCAAACCTGTATGGACACAGACCCTGCAGGAGCCTCTGTGCACCCTGAGAAGCTGCTGTTCTAGCAGCAAGCTTGGTTCTGACTTCTTAGGAGGAAAATGGGGCAAAGACACTGGGCAGTCATGAGGAGCCTCCTCTCCTCCCCATGTTCTCACCACAGAGACCATCCACTCCCTGCCCCCAGGTTCCCTGATATCTGGCAATGCCCACAGTACCAAGTCCAAACTCCTCAGCATGGTGAACAATGCCTTCGTGGGGAAGCAGCTTCTTAACCTTTCTTACGCTCGGCTTCCCCATTTATAAAACAGGGATAAAATAAGACCTACCTCATAGGATTAAGAGAATTAAATGAGATCCCACACGAACTTAAGAGAGTGCTGGGCACATTATAAGTACTCAACAACTGTGTCCTACCATATGTATTATGATCTGCTCCCTGCCCGTCCTCTCCAGCTCCATGGATCACCAGGCCGCCCCATCTCCCGTTACCCCAGGGAGAACCCCAGCAACATTTAAACAGTTTCCAAAGGTACTTTGCTCTCTCTCCTCTGGACTTCCATAGATTAACATTTCTGCTTGAAATGCTTCCTATCTTCCTTCCCTGACAACTCCCGTATCCTGACTCACATCTGTTTCTTTAGGACTCAGGTTAGAAGTCACCTCTTCTCCATTGCAGGTTGGATTACCAGCCAGTGCTTACCTGTTATCAGGCACTTACCATTCCATAACTAGCTATTTATATATCCATATCCTTTACTTCAAAGTCCTTAGGAGCCAAAACTGTGCCTTATTTAGGATTATATCTCAAATGTTAGAAAAGGGCTTCACACATAGAAAAGTTTCTCTACATAGTTTTTCCTCACTTTTTTTTTGTGGAATGCTTGAATCCTGTCTTGCACTGCTTGAAATCTGGCTGGGCACATTCCCAAGAAGCCAAGGATTCCTACCCACAATCCTTGGATAATGTTCAAAGGACAGAGACATCTGCACCTGTCTAGGACAGTTCCTCACATCCCACTCCATACCCCCACGCAAGCTTGTGCAACAGGTATATGGATTCGCTGAGGAGGACAAAGAAGAGGCTGAAAGATGTTCAACTGGACTATAAAGGCCCCTACATCTCCTCTTTGGGACACGGGGCCTGGAGAACACCTGAGACCTGTGGAGAAGTGCTGCTAGCTGCTCACCTGGTAGATATGGTTCAGTTTGAAGTGTTTGAGGAGGAGCAGGAGCAGGGCAGAGATACTCTTTACAATGATCTCCTTGTGCCTGTTCACATCGATGCCCAACTTCATGCTCTGGAGAACAGTGATGCTACAAAGGGGAGAGGAGGAGTGAGTGCAGAGAGTAGCCTTAGAGAACGACCTACAAGGACCCAGGTATTTGGGTCAGAGACAATGTATACAAGAGAGCCAGAACTTGGGAGATCTGAACTTCTGTACTAGGGAAACCTCCAGAGTTCCCACTTATGAGCCTGTTTGGAGAAAAGCTCCTCTGCTCTCTTTGTTTTTCTCTCTCCTTTGGCAAGCTCATCTCTTGGCAATGTCCACCCACATACCTATGCAACCAGTCACTGGCACTGATGTTGCCCTGTAGACCCTCAGTTTTGGGCTAAAAATGAACCCAACCGAGAGCATTGCAGTGGAAAGGGGAGAGCAGATCTCTTTGCTGACAATCCCTCTGAGTGTTATCAAGGTGGGGTGGGGACTAGAGAGATGCTGTAGACAAAACAGCTAGCATTCAGCAGCCAACCCAGGTGAAGCACTCACGGCATCTCCTCAGGCAGGACATCTGCCAGGATATTGATAGAGTCCGTCTTGGCTTTGGAAGTGGGGGCTGCAGCCAGCAGAATCTTAAGTAGAGCAATCTAGGAAGTAGAAAATGAGGAGATCCATCTCTGTCCATCCCATTCAACAGGGCTCTTTTTCCATACCTCAACAGCCCTATGAGAAGTGTTTTAGGGGTGCCTGGGTGGCTCAGTTGTTAAGCGTCTGCCTTTGGCTCAGGTCATGATCCCAGGATCCTGGGATCAAGCCCCACATCGGGCTCCCTGCTCCATGGGAAGCCTGCTTCTCCCTCTCCCACTCCCCTTGCTGTGTTCCCTCTCTTGCTGTGTCTCTCTGTCAAATAAATAAATAAAATCTTAAAAAAAAAAAAAGTGTCTTAATGCCTTCTATGTTCATTCCTCAATAACCAAATCTCTCCAGCCTCCAGAAGGGCAAACAGGTGCCCAGTCCTGAGAGGCCTGCCTGTGAGGCTCTAAGGAGCCAGAAGGGAGCTGTAGGCTGTTCTGCTTCAAGACTGTTCTTTCTAAAGAACATTATGGAAGGAATAGAGAGGGGCAATGCCTAGAAATAAGGTGAGAGATATAAGCACGATGTCACCTTCTCTACCCCTTTCCTTCCTCTAACCCTGACCATCAGCATCCTCACCACTCAGACTGAGGCTATCTAAGACATGACAGACTATGGCCTCAGAGGGACTAGGGTACTTACTTAGAAGGAGGGCCCCCAATACATTCTTCATGGACCCCACCTTATTCTCCACCCCTCCCAAAGAAGGACTTGGGAGTACGGCCAAGTCTTCCTTCCTCTTGGAGAAGCCCCTGAGGAAAGCTCAGAACTCTAATGTGTTAGAGAATGCTTTCCCTCAGGGGAGAAGGCTCAGGGAACAAGCTCAAATAATGGACAGGTCAGCCTGAAACGGTTCTCAGCTGCCTGGTCCTGGAGCAGAGAAGGGCAGCTCTGGCCCAGCTATCTCCTTACCATGTACTGAGGGAGGCTGTAGAGCATGCCCTGGTAGAGGATTTCACATGGCGTCTCTGGTACCACCTCTTCCCCCTACGGCAGGAAATACACAGTTTGCCCGGGCCATTTTCCAGTTGCACAAAGGCTATGTTTTCTTGGTTGTGAAGGGTGGCATGAAAAGAGCACTAAGCTGGAGTCAGATCTAGGTTCCTATCCAGCTGTGTTAATGACTCATTATATCACCTTGGGTAGGTTTACTTTCTCTGTCTGGGTCTTAGTGTCCTCTTCTTTAGGATCACTGGGCCGGTCTGATGTCCTCTGAGGGCTCTTCCAGCCCTGACAATCTATGATTCTGGTTTTCCCATTATCTGGAATCAATACAGAATTCTTCTTTCCCCATCACATGTTGGATCAGGAGCCAGAACACCTACCTAGGAGTTGGCTCAAACCACTGCTTTTCTGGCCACCCATGGGCTTAAGTCAGGGTGCACATATGTCTAGGACACTAGAACAGACACCCCACACAGAAGCACTTCCTGTGGTGTCAGTCTGAGGCCATCCAAGAGCTCTGGAATGCTCGGAAGTGAGAGGTAGTTAACTCAGTAGAGAAGGCTGATAAGGGAGTTGGGTAACCCATGGCCGGGAGAGGCAGGAAGGAGTATTAGTAGGGAAGCTTTTAAGTAGAAACTGTTTTCTTTCCTTCTCCAGTAGTCACTACCACATCCCTTCCTCCTTTATGACCAGCCCCCTCATCCACAACTCTCTTTGTCCTTCGATGACCCCAAGCGGGGGGACCAGGGCCTCCAGTGCTCAAAGGGCTATTCAGGCCATCATCATCCTTGGCCAGTTCAGTTCTTCCTCCCACAAGGTACCTCTATTCCAGGGCAAGGATGACTGCCTTGAGACCCTGAGGCAGGGAGGAATAACCCGGCCCCTGCCGTCCCACATAACTCAACTGCTGCTTAAATGGGCATTCGGTAAACTTAGGCAATAGATCTTTGGGAGAGCAGGTTGCCTTCCTGCTCTCCCAAAGATCTATTTCATACCTTCTCTTCTCCCCTGTCCTCAAACCAATCCCCTCACCCCCCAACCCCTCAATAGTTGCTAACCCAGTCTTATACTTCATGGAGAAAACAGAGGCAATCAGACAGTTCATCTTCTCAACACCAAATCTACCAGGGTCTCTACCTTCCTTCTTGACGTGAAGTATGAACCACCTCTGCTCTATTAAAGGCCAACCCTCCACTTGTGCTGGGGATCTCTCACCCTTGTGCTTTGTCGAATGTATCAGTTCTGCAATTGTCTCTTCTCTCCCAGATCATCTCTTTTAGGACATAAACATATTCTAGTGTCTCCTAGCTATAAAACACTCTTCTCTGACCTCACATCCTCCTTCAGCCACAATCCCAACATTCAACACTGTTATTTCTAAAGAAGATTATGGAAGGAATAGAGAGGGGCAATGCCTAGAAATAAGGTGAGAGATATAAGCACGATGTCACCTTCTCTACCCCTTTCCTTCCTCTAACCCTGACCATCAGCATCCTCACCACTCAGACTGAGGCTATCTAGGACATGACAGACCATGGCCTCAGAGGCACTAAGGTACTTACTTAGAGGGAGGGCCCCCAATAGAGGGGGCCTCTAGTGTCTCCTAGCTATAAAACATATTCTAGTGTCTCCTAGCTATAAAACACTTTCCTCTGACCCCACATCCTCCTTCAGCCACCATCCCATTTCTATCCTCTCTACAATAAAACTGTGTTGTCTGTGTTGACCATCTACCTCCTTTCTTTACATTCCTCTTTCAACACACTCCAACGAAGCTACTAGCCCCACCTCTTCACTTGAGGTTGCTCTTATCAAGGTCACCAGTTATTTTCACGTTGCCTGATCCAATGGGAACCTCAGGTCTTATCCATTTATCAGCAGCACTTGACACAGCTGATCACTCCCTTCCTGAAAAAATTTTCCTTAGCTTTCATAGTATCATAATCTCCCACATTCTCTCCCACCTCACTGAGTGTTTCTCTTACTCTTCTTTTCTGGCTCCTTTCCTGATTCATCCCACCCTCAACACAACTGGTGTGCCCCAAGGCTTTGTCCGGGGTCCCATCCTCTATCTCTATTCCCTCCCTGGGTTATCTCAGCCAGTTCTATGGCTTTTAGCACTGTCCACTAAGCCAACAGCTCCCAAATTTATTTCTCTAGGCCAGTCCTCTCTTAGAACTCTAGACTTATATATTCAATTGCATGGCTGCTCATGTGCATGGCTGCCTAATGGATATCTAAAACTGAGTATGACCAAAATAGAACTCTTGATGAAACAGAACTCCCCATGTTTCACCCTGCTTCTACTCTTTTCTGGTAAAGTCTTTACACAGCAGCCAGTGGCTTTTGAAAATATAAATCCGATCATGTCACTCCCCCGCTTAAAATCTCCAAGGGCTTACTTCTGTATTATGAAACAACTTCACAATCCCTATCTTTGCTTACACGTCCTTTGTAAAGTGGTCCCAGGCCACCTCCCTGACTCCATCTCATACAACCCCATCCCTCACCCCTGTGTTCCAGCCACAGGCCTTCATTCACTACCCCTACTACTCCAAGCTTGCTCTCACCCTTGTTAAAGCTATTCCCTCTGCCTAGAGTGCTCTTTCCCCCAATATTCCTATGGCCAGCTCCTTCTTGTACCTCACATTTTAGCTTAACTCTCACCTTCTCAGAGGTCCACCTATCCTGACTGCCTAATTGACAGTAGTCTCCTACCTGACAGATGCCTCTATCATGTCATCCTATTTAAATTTTCTTCATTGTATCTTCCATTCTCAATAGTCTTGTTTCCTTAATTACTTACTTTCTTTTTTCTCTAACTCTAATGTATCATGAAAGTAGGGACCTTGCCTTGCTTGGCACATCATAAGAGCCCAACAGCATGTACATATGCTCTGTGATAGCACTGCAGATAGATTTCCTCCTGCCTTTCTCCTGGGCAGGACCCCCTTAACTCACCAAAGACATGGGGCATTTCTCCAGATCCTCTTCATTCTTGATCTGAACATCTGCAATGGAGATGTACTTGTGCTGGGGAAGAAAAGATATCAATTAAGAGGGTGAGGTTACTAAAAAAAAATTTTTTTAATTAAAAAAAAAGGGAGGGCACCTAGATGGCTCAGTCTAAAGAATGTACGGCTCTTGATCTTGGGGTTGTGAGTCTGAACCCCACGTTGGGTGTAGAGATTACTTAAAAAAAAGAAAAAGAAAAAGATACTGAGGGCCCCAATTACATATGTACCAGCCTCTTGCTTATCTTCCTTAATGATAAGGAAATGTCCTGTATATGGTTTGTCACCCCAAATAGAACATGAACTCTTTGAAGGTAGGAGTCTTATTTACCTTTGTACCCTTAACATTGAGGCCGGTGCTTCATATACAGTGTTTCTGTTTATTCTATGTTCCCGTATTTGTTGACGAGCAGAAATACTTAAGTATTTACCTTCAACCAAAGGGCAAGGGGAAGTGAAGAACAGGTCCATGTCCCTGGACCACTACCCTGAGAGTTTTGCTGCATGTGAGTATGCCTGTGTGCATGTGTATGGAGTGATGATGGGGTGAGGGAGAGTTCAGGGTCTGTGCAAGAGATGGCTATTTTTACTCTTTGTGCTCGTATACACTTTGGATGCAGAGAAGACTGCTACTAATCCTGGGCCTTTGGAAGTTGGTGGCCTTATAGGGAGAAAGAAGTGAGAGGAAAGGAAGCGAGGACGAGAAAGAGAGAAAGAAGGGTAGGAGGAGGAAAAAGGCATGAGAGGAAGAAAGAATAACTTTTTCATCTATCTGAATGTAGGAAAATGGGTAAATAAGAAGACCTAATTTCTTCCTCTTTGGCCAAAATGCCTGCAGGGGAAATACAGAATGTGTCTGGTAGAAGAGCCAATAACCAGGACTTTGGTAATCAAACTTGAATGATGGCTCCCTATCCCTGAAGACTGAGAGCCCACCCTGGTCACCTGCTTTAGAGTCTTCACACTCTCGTGGATGGGCCTGGGTAATCCAACCAAGGTATCTGTGTCCCTGTGAAATGAGAGATATACCAGATCATAAGCATCAAAACTATAGAGAACTACTGATGAATCACTGACCTCTATCTCTGAAACTAATAACATATTATATGTTAACTAATTGAATTTAAATTTAAAAAAACTATAGAGAACTACTTATATCCCCTGGAGTTACATGGACCATGCCACTTTCAACATGCGGTATTCTGGATTTTTCTCTGCAAGCTTCCATGTCCCCCATTATTGCTTCAGGACACAAAAAGAACAATGCCACACAGAAGTGTTCCTGAAAATTAGGATTTTTGTATAGTCTTTTGGGGATTTACTTTGTCAGGGAGTGGTAGGTTCCTTAAAAGGGCATGTAGCCCAACTACAGTGAAACACGGGAACAAGGGCTTCTCCATTTTGTAAAGGCCAGCCAGTGTGAGGAATTCATGAGGGAGGAGATATGGGGGAAGACTGGATCTGCTCTGACCATGTTGCTTCTTCACAAAATTCTGGCCTATTAAAACAGGAAGGACCCCTAGGGACCATCTAATCCAACACTCTCATGAAGAAATTGAAGCCCAAGAGGGAAATGACTTGTCACTCAAGGTCCTACACCTGGCTAAGAACATAAGAGTTCTTCTAGGAAACTGGGAGGAAAAAAATTCCATGGCACCAGCCCAGAGTCACTAGCAGATGCCCATAGTGGCTCGAGGTTACACCATAACTACCAGGCAACATCTCTCATTCCAGCCACCCACTCGTCTGGCCCCCTAAGAACCACTCTATAGCCAGTTCTGACGATCTAGTCACTTACTGCCCCAGAGTGAATCCGATGAATTTGTTCCTGCTCATCTCCAAGAAGTGCTCAATGTCCTTCTGTCTGAGAGGACAGTGGAGAGACAATTCCCAGAAAAGGAAAAAAAAAAAAGCAAACCTTGAGAGACAGAACCTTTCTGGACTCCTAACCCTTTGATTGGAGGATTAGAGCAGTGGGGGAAGATAAGAGCTAACAGAGGAAACTTCAAACCCAGGAGTTCTGACTTCTAGTCCAGCTTACTGAGACTTGAACATGTAGATCACTGCACCCTGGGCCTTCAGTGATTCTAATCCCAAAATTCAGGGTTCCCGGAGTTATCAAACCTACCTGACCTTTGGGGCCCAGGGTAGGCCCTTGGGAAAGGCCACCCGCTCAGCAGAAAGGGATGCCTGTGAGGGTGGAGGTGGCACCAGAGGATCTTGCTCTAGCAGGTCTAATTCTCCATCCAAGGTTCGTTCTCCATCACCAGCAGACTCCTCTTCCTCCTCTGTGGCTGGTTCCTCAGTCTTAAAGAGATCTCTTTCATTGTAGATGTCCAGGCTGTCCTGCTTAGTGAGGAGTTGCTGGGCAGGGGTTGGGAGGGTGGAGAGAAGGTGTACAGAGATCTCACTCTGAGCATCCTTGTCTGAGGTCACCCTCTACCCATAAGCTACTAGAGTTTAGGATACATGGAGTAACAACCCAGCTCTTGTAAGAATATCCCCTTCCCCACCTTAACCCTAGTATATCCACCAGGCCCAATCCCAGGACAAGCACCTCTCAGGCAACCAAGCCTATGTCTGGGGAACAAAGCATACATAATCCCAAAGTCAGGTACTTAGCTTTCAAAAAGCATGGGTTTTTTGGGGGTTTTTTTGTACTGTACTTTCCTTCCTTATTATGCTCTGCTTAGGTGAACATTCAATTAGTTTGCCTTCTGTGAGCTTACACCAGCTGGCTGACTGAGGAAGAGGAGGACAGAGGCTTGCTGCTAGGCAGAGGGAAGCAAGTTTGGAATTTTAAATCTTGTCAAAGAAAAAAAGATTGGACAGAAATAGGCCAAAAAGTTAACAGTGACTGCCTCTGGTTTATTAAGCTTGTAGGTGATTTTCTTTTTTCCTCCCTTCTTCACATTTTTATATTTGTTCCAAATTTTGTACAATGAGTAAGCATTACTTTATAAAACAAAAAATAAAGGTTAAAAAAAATCACATTGCAGATTATGTAGACTAGATTACTGAACATGACTGTCTGGTCACCTGTAATTGGTGAACTCAGGTATTTCAGGGAGGTGAGTTTGTGGGTACATGGTCAAGTCTCAGTGCAACCTGTCATTCTGACCTTTCCAGGGATGCAGATTATACCTAGAACACTAATCAGTCACCTCCTAAATGTAAGCCTCTGGTTCCAGGGCCAGACAAGAGCATGGCTGGCTCAGAGTAAACCTTCTTGCTATCAATATAATGATAAAGCGCCTTACCCCATGCACGTGGATTTGCTGGGAGCCCTGTTCAGGTGATCTGGGTCCCTATCTCCAGGATTATGCCCTAACTGTTGGCCAGGATAACTCGAGGCATACCAGGTCTGGGCCAATGACCCTGTAGCAAGATATGGATCTATGATGTAATATGAACAGTGTTACATCATGATAGCCTGGGAGCCTTCTGGAGTTGGGAGACAGCGGCCAAAGTACAGACTCCAAGGTTTCAGGTTGGTCACAAGGCCAATCAGAGGTAGGATGAGCCTCGTCATTTACTGCCCTTTCCTACCACATCCAGAGTAGCTTGGAATCTTAATTTTTGGCCTACTAGTATCAAAACACCACTGTCTGCTTTAGTTCGTACCCTTCGAGAACCACGGCGGCCTCGCAGCTTAGAGGGTGGTGGTGCCAGCTGAGACTCCCCCAGGTCGAGGGTGTAAGAGGGCGGGGAGGCAGCACGCATGCTCTTCACCACCTGGATACTGTCTTCAGCCAGTGGAGGCAGGCCCAATTCTGCCCGCTTCTGTACTTTGAGAACCTGTAGATGCTCAAATCCACCAAGGGTAAACTACAGTATAAAAGGGGCAGAGGAGAGGAAAAGAGGGAAGTCAGAGGGAACGAGGTCAGGGAAATGTGAACGGAGAGGAAGAGCCACACTCTCCAGTCCCCTTGTACTCCCTTCTTAACTAAGAAGTAATAAAACAGGAAGGGACAAATGTAGTTACTATCCCCAGTCTTAGAAGCTCAGGGGTCATGATAAAGCATTATTTACTGACTCAGGGCTGGAAACATCACCAGGAATTAGGAAAGGGACTTCTGGGGGCTTCCACTGGAGAAAAAAAAAGGGAAACTGTGTCCCCTTTTTAAGGAGTACAACCAGATGCTATAAAGCCCGAGTCACTCAATTTCTTCTGCAGTCAAAAGGTAGTTCCCCCCTATGAAGCTTGCTCTGGAGGGTATGTTGTTCAGGCAGTCCTGTGGGGTGGGAGCCAGAGGTGAAGGGTCAGATTTAATAATTAGTAACAAAGCTGTAACCATACACTTAAAAGGACTTCATTTTTTTTAAGATTTATTTATTTATTTTAGAGAGAGAATGTGAGCAGGGGGAGGGACAGAAGGAGAGAGAGAGAAAGAGGGAGAGAAGCAGATACTCCACCGAGCGCAGAGTCCAACGCAAGGCTCGATCCCACGACCCTAAGCTCATGACCTGAGCCAAAATTAAGAGTTGGACACTTAACTGACTGAGCCACCCAGGTCCCCCAGGACTTCATTTTTTTTTTTAAAGCAAATCCTCTGTTTATCTGGATGGAGGGCAGGCAGTAAATCCCATTTTATAGCTAGAAAAATTGAGGCAGAGACAGTTGCCTGAGATTCCTCGGTATCAGCAGAGGCTAGATCTCCCAACTCTCAACCAGTATTCTTTCCATGAAATGTCAGCTCTATCATGGGAAGGTGCAATGACACCCTAATCATAGAGTGACATCTCCTGTCAGTCCAAAAGAAATAGGTAATCTGCTGTGACACAGAACATACGATTTCTCTCCATTGGCTAACAGCTGCTCTCCCTATTCTTCTGCCTAGCTCCAGTCTCCTGGAATCAGACTAGAAGAAAGTGAGGTGGCAGAGGGGCACCGCTGATCTGATGAGATGGGCGTGGGTAGGAGGGGGGTGGATCAGCCACTTACCATGACCACCTTCCAGAGCAAAAGCAGGACCTTCTTTATGGGGAAATGGGGAGCCAGGCCGCTGCAGAACTTGGTAACCATGGAGAAAAGCAAAAGGGCAAAAGGTTCCTCATTATGCGTGGAGAAACCTGGGGAAGAGGAGAGAGAGAAGTGAGAAAGTGAGGATGAGAGTGCTGAAACCCTGCCCCTTTAACCCTGCTTCTGAATGCAGTGAGGAAGGCTCTTACCTCCTCCAAGAATTTGAGTACTGTTCCTTAGAAGGCGGCTTAGAGAATCCCCAGAGGGAAGGGGCAGGAAGGGAGGCCATGGAGGTAAAATGGCTTAGCTCCCAAGCTTGAGGGTGGATACCAAACTAGAAGTAATAGTACTAAAGATGTTCCTTTCTGGCCGAAGGACTCAATGCATTTTATAGATCACAACTCACTTTCCCACATCAGTCTAATATATTTTAAAAATCCCATAGGCCTTCATATCTTATCCCTGTGTGATGACAACATCAATATTTTCAAGGCGATTCAACTCATTTTTTCATGTGAGATTGATGATGAAATGGGAGATGGATGGCTGTTTCCATTTTATAACCAAGGAAATCAAGGCACAGAAATGACACATGATTGGTACTAACTCATAGACACAAGGGAAGTTAAACCAGGTCCTCACGCCTGCCACGCAGTGTCTCTGCCCTAAAAGAATGGATGCTGGGCGCCTGGGTGGCTCAGTTGGTTAAGCGACTGCCTTCGGCTCAGGTCATGATCCTGGAGTCCCGGGATCGAGTCCCGCATCGGGCTCCCTGCTTGGCGGGGAGTCTGCTTCTCCCTCTGACCCTCCTCCCTCTCATGCTCTCTGTCTCTCATTCTCTCTGTCTCAAATAAATAAATAAAATCTTTAAAAAAAAAAAAAAAGAATGGATGCTAATTTGGAAAGAGGAGGGGAGGAAGGAAGGAAAGGAGGGAGGGAGAAAGGAAGGAAGGAAGGAAAAGCTATTTGTCTCTTCTCTGCAGATGCGCAGAAGCTATGCTTCCCCTCCACCATCAGCACCTTATCCCTACCCTTCCTCAAGTGCCACTTCTTACTCAATTCAGTGCGGAAGGTCTCCCGTGCTGTCCTCCACCGGCAGGAGTCTGTCTCTCGCTCCAGGCGGATATTTTCCACCAATAGGTACATGACACTCAGCAGCACCCTGGGGTTATAGAAGGGTTACAAGAGGTTCCCAAAGCAGCTCCCAGCCTGTAGTCAGAGACCTTGGGGATGATCTCTGCGGGAGCCCGACCCAGTGGAATTAGCAACTACTAGCAGTCTGGGTATATCTGGGACTTGGGCAAAGGGTAACCCATTGTTAACTATCCCTTGTTTTATTCCCAGGGCCAGCTCAACTTACCTGAGCTCTGTGCTATCAGCAATGGAGATGGCTGGTTTCCGAAGAGCACTGCTACAGGCCTGGCTGTTGCTGCCATGGGGGGAGGGAGAGAATAGGAATTCATAAGTCCTCTTTACACCCTGTGTCCCTACTTATCATATACATAAATGTGAGTACCTGCTATTCCCTGGCTATGTAGCTAAGAGAAATTGGTCTAAGGTAAAGGAGCCCACTGAATTCCTTTGCCACCTCAGTAAACCTTTATCTGTGGTGAAGATGGGCAAGGGCAGGATCTCTGATAACCCCTCCACTTACAATCCACACTGTGCCTAGCACTGTGCTGAACACAAAATAGATGCTAAGCAACCCTTTTTTTTTTTTTTTTAAGATTTTATTTATTTATTTGATGGAGAGAGAGAGAGACAGCGAGAGAGGGAACACAAGCAGGGGAAGCAGGAGAGGGAGAAGCAGGCTTCCTGCGGAGCAGGGAGCCCGATGCGGTGCTCAATTCCAGGACCCTGAGATCATGACTTGAACCGAAGGCAGACGCCTAACGACTGAGCCACCCAGGCGCCCCTAAGCAGCCCTTTCAATCTGCCCTCTTTAAACTCCTGGGTAATAGGCACGAGATAAAATGAGGGATCACTATAGTGGTAGCAGCAGATAAGGCCACCTCTAGAGCTATGACCTATGAGGGAAAGAATTGGGCACAGCAACAGAAGTTGGTCCTGTCCCTCTTGGGTCACGTTCTCAGGTAGAACAGTCTCCTTCATGGATTCCAGAGTTAGGCTGAGTTGAGAAGGTGTTTAGATATAAAGGGAACCCACCTAGGATAGGACCCTGAAGCCCAGGACTGAAGCTGTAAGTGGGGCAAAAGCTGTTGATGAGCCCAACCTCAGGGAAGAGGACAGACTATCAGAGAGCATGGCTGGATAGAGGGGAACTGTCAGTAAGCTTTGGGCTGAGGTGTGAATAGACCCTGCTCCCACAGAGGTCTCTATAGTGAGGGAATCAGCATAGGACATGAGGCACACTTCAAGGAAGGAGGTTGTCTAGGCCGGCTCTCCCCTAAGGTTTCTCACTCGATTTCCATGTGGAGTAGCTCCAAGAAGGCTGAGAAGGTCCCCATCTGATAGAGCAGGAAGCAGTTGTACCTGGACCAGTGTAGTACATCGACCTCCGAATCACATTCCCCAAAAGTGCCTAAAGAACCAGACAGTGTCATATGGGTTGAGGGGTACCCAGTTCTTTCCACCCTGCCCCATGATCTTAAGTCTATCTTCCAACACCTTGCCCAACAATTAGGCTGACAAAGTACGGCAAGGGCCCTCCAGAACCTCCTTGAATGAGGCAGGAAAGAGGAGAAACAGTCTCCAGAGTCAGGTCCAATGTGCTTATCACTGGCCCGTCTTAAGTTTGAGTTCCCTGGGAAGCAGATCCAGAGAGGATTCGAATGCAAGCAGTTTATTTGGGAGATGATCCCAGGAACCATTAGTAGAGAAGTGGGGAAGTGAGATAGGGAAGAAAAGGCAGCTAAGGAGCTGAACTCAGGTTGGGGGAAGCTCTGGGAAACAGTATATGTTTTATACCCTCAGAATCATCCCACCCAAGAAGGGTGAGGTAATTGGGCTATTCATCCACTACCTCCTGTCATTCATTGATCAGTGCTACTGGACTAGGGGAGCACATTAATTCCCTAGCACGTCCTGGCTACCCTATATGGACTGCAGAGAAAGCCCTCAGGTAAAAAGTTAAAGGTACTAGCAGTTGGAAGTTGGCCAGAGCACCAGACCCGAGAGATAGGGTTAGCCACTGCCTTGTTTGCTATCGTCTTCCCTTTACCACTCTTATTCCTATCCATTTATTATTTTCTTTTATAGTTTGTTTGTTTGTTGTTGTTGTTGTTTTAGCTCCCAGCTAGTTGGTTCTGCCAATAGTCCTCTTATTATGATCTCAGGGCATATTTTTACTATTCCAGTTAGGTTATCTCATTTCTCTTTCCAACACCTGGCTAATAGGTCTCTTCTGGGAAGGTTTTCTCAATTAATCTCGCTGAGTTCTGATCCCATTTACACACTGCATCTGCTCCTGCTGCTATACTGGCTTGAACTCTCTAAATGCCAAGGAGAAATAACGCAGAAGGTCCATGTGTGAATCTGGGGCACCACACTACCTCCCCTCAGTGGAGGTCAGTGCCATAGCTGAAGAAAGAAGCCTCCATGCTCAGCTGGTGGTACATCAACTCTAGCCACACTGACTCTCTTACTAAATCTCCACATATGATTATAGCCCACATGAAGGAAAAAAGAACTTTATAAGAAATCTTGCCATGCGTGGCAAGATAAAGGCCAATTCCAAGGGATCCAACATAGTACCCCCACCATCTCCTTAACTTCCTTATAAGCATCAGGTTACTCCTAGCACTTGACAAGATCTGTCCTTGAGAGGCAGGGGCCTTGCTTTCTTAGCATGGCTTGCCTCATCCTAGTCCTGATAACAACATTTCTCTCCCTAGTTTTCACCCAGCTCAAGCTGGCAAAGGTGGCCACTCGCCTTGGGCCAGGTACAGAACAGCCCGGGCCACCTTCAGTCGCCGTTCCCTACTGACCACCTCCAGTCGGTCCAGGAGTCCCATCACATAGGCCTTCTGGGCATCTTCCTCCAACTCCAGCCACTCCTTGCCCTGCACTGGGGAAAGAAGGCCATACAGATCCAGTGTCAGCTTTTGCCTCCCCTTCCTGGAAAGGTTCCTGATAACATACCCATCTCTGATCCCCACCCCCAACAAATTCTTCTCTTCAAAAGCTTTCTTTATTTAGCTGAGAAAGAATAAGAGATTGGAAAAGTAAAGGACCCACAAAGGTCTGGCTGAATCCACTCTGCAGCTCATCTTCCTCCATATCCCCTTTATTCTCCACACAGAGCCTATTCTGTCCTATCTCTCTGCCTTTTCAAGGAGTTCCCTCTCTCCCTACATATCCAATTCCTATTCATCATTACAGATCCAATACTAAATTACCTCTTTCCCACTAATGCTCCAGCCAGAAGCTCTGTCCCCCAAGATACTACCCTGCCTCCAATCCCCCCAAGATATCTTTTACTTCTCTTATGATACTTACCACTTTCCTTTTGGCTTCAGTGAGTTTTGTGATGTACACACCTCCCCTCTGCCACTGGACTATAATCTCTTTGAAGATTCTGCAAATTCACTTTCAGCCCTGGCCCCTGCATCTCACACAAAACAGTTCTCACCACACATCTGTTGAGCTGCAAACTGAATTCACTGACCAAGTAAGGAGATGGAGGTCTGAGAGGATCAGTGTGGACACATGGAATTATTATTAGATGCAATTAGGAGTGAGGCAGAGTTGGAGGCAGGGATTGAATGTTAAAGTCAAGGACTACACTAGGCACAGAGTTCAATCAGGCAGCAAGGCACCAGCCCAGTTCCCATCCCTCTGTTCTCTGGGCCCTTTATATCAGTGAAAGGGACCAAGCTCAGGCTTTTCCTGCTTCCATTCCATGGCCTCTCCACTTGAGCTATAGGAAACTCTGTGTCCCATATGGAAGAAGGGATAGAGAAGTGGTTATGGAGAGGATGAAGAAGAATCATACTTTGTTTTGGGCTTTTTCTAGATCGGGCTGGGATATTATGGGGTGTGGGGGAGGAAAGAAGGTCTCTATGAATAAGAATCTGGGATCACCTTGAGTCTTGAAATCTTCTTCAAAGCACCTCCTGTTAGTGGTGAATTCCAGGTTTTCAGTGTAGCTATATAATTCTGTGTTAGGAAAGACAGGACAGAGTCACAAACATTCAGCAGACCCTTACAGAAGGGGCCTGGGGTGGAGAGGGTGGCATGAAAGAGCTAATGCTTCCAACACATTCCTGTGTCCAATTCAATCCAGAGCCAGCTTCCTCCCTTTCGGAGCAGTTAAAAATAGCCACTTGTGTCCCTGGGTGATTAAACCATCAAACCTGTCCTCCTCCTGCCAGCTGGCTGCTACAGCAGAGAAGGCAGTCTTCAACGCTGGTGAGGGCCAGGAGAAGGGATGGACCAGAAAGGGCTTACTGTCATCAATCCTGTTTCTTAGGGCTGCAACCCTTCTGCTTGTCAACCCAGACTGAAACTATCCTGTCTCTAGGGAAGAGAGGGGCAGCACAATGCCTGAAATTTAGAGGCAAGATCCTTGTGCTATTCACGGAACCAGAGTAAAGGCTGGAGAGTATGTGTTAGATGGCCCTTTGGGGTTGGAGCCAGTTCATTCTCTCCCTGCTGAGTTTCCTCAAAGGGTATAGAAGTTTAGGTTCCTGCCCCTGGCCACCCAGGAAGACACAGCATCAAACAACATAGAAGCAGCTATTGTTGCCAAAGGGCTGCTTATGCCCAAGAAAATCTAACTTTGTTAACAATAGGCTCTGAATACAAAATGCAGAGTTTATGAGAAATAAAATGCCTTTCCTACACACACACACACGCCAGAACATTATACCAGGAAGTACCCTCATCTTACAGAGGATAAAGAATTGAAGTTGAGAAGTCAATAGGTGACAGAACAGATTTCCTCAAAACTCTGTAACAGACCCTTGCTGGAAATTTAACTAGGTCGTAGATAATTCACAAAGAGAAATTCACTTATGTTCCAGCCAGCTGTCTAATGGTTGAGAAACACCTTGTCTGGGAGCCAGGGCTTTTGAGTCCTGAGTTCCAGAATCCTGGATTGACCAGAAGCAAATCCCATCTCTGACTCTGATATTCTTCAGTGCTCAGTGGGTAGTGTGCATGTATGTTTTTTAAGAGCACAGCATGAACCCAGTCAGAAAAGGGAGCAAGGCTGTTAGGTACTAAAATATTTTTGTTTTTATTTTTAAATTTTAGATCATGAATTTTCATAGATATAGAATACATAAGATACCTGTGTATCTTCTACCCAGATTAAACAAACGTTTACACTTGTTATATTTACTTCAGACATCTTAAGTTTCCTTTTCCTCCCCAGTCTTATTCCCCTCTCAAGATTTAACCATTTTAATGACATTGGTGTGTATCCTTTACATGCCTGTTTTTCTACTTTTCCTGCATATGTATATACCTGTAAACAACATGACATTGTTGTGTTTGAAAGCTTCTATCCAAACAGGATATTATATATATTATTTTTCTTAGAAACAATTCTTAGTATGTCTTTCAATAGTTTTTTACATAACAGTGTACTGAACACATCCATTTACTTAACTGACACTGTTCTTAATCAAGTGTGCAACTAGACTTCCCAGAAATATCTTTTAGGTTTGTGTGTTTAAGCAGTATTCGGATGCATGTATAAATTATTTTGTCACTGCTTCTTTCACTCTCAACACTATGTTTTTAACATTTATTGATATTGAAACATATTGATATAGATCAATTATTCTAACGGCTAAGTGGTAGCCTATATTGATACGCTACAGTTTATCCATTCCCCTGAGTGGTTTTAAATTTTTCATAATGGCCACAATAAACATGTTTATACATGTTTTCTTGTGCCCAAATGTTCTTTAAAGTGTACATCTAGAGTCACTGTGTCATTATGTGTGCATCTTCAACTTTGCTAGATATGACCAAATTGCTTTCCAATTTTATATTCTGCTCCCTCATGCCAAGCAGTGTATAAAAGTACTCATTTCTCTGCACCCTCACTAACTTCAGGCTTTTAAGTTTTGCAATCCGATGGATGTGAAACAATACCTCATATTTTAATTTGCTTTTCCTCATTTACTAATGTAGTTGAACATCTTTTCATATATTTATTGACCATATGGTTTTCTGTTCTCTGAATTCTTATTCATATTCTTTGACTATTTGTCTATTGGGTTGTTCTTCTCTCTTCTCTCTTTCTACACACACATACATGCACACACATACACATATGAAATATATTTATATTATTTGGAATTCTAATCCTTTGTTGGTTATTAAACTCAGCTCTCTCTTTGTCACTCATCACAAATTTATTCCCTGTGCTTCTTCACAAGTACTTCTTTAAAAGTTCTTGTCTCTTTTCTCTGAAAAAGCATGTCTCAAAGTGTCACTTCCATGTGACAGAATATTTAATTTTCACACCACTGCCACCCAAAGCTCATTTATTAATAACTGGCATTCATAGCACGTGTAGCATGGAGGCTCTTAGTGTGAGGAGATCACACTTAGCCTAAGCTAAAACCCAGACAGAGAGAGAGAGGGAGAGGGTGGCAGAAAGAAGGGGGCATGCATGCAAAGATATGAGTGAATATGGGAAAAGAAACAGGAGGAATAGGGAAAAGGTGGAAAGAAAACAGATTTGAGAGTGCACCAAAAGAGAATAAAGAAGGATGAGCAGAAAAGAGTGATAGAATAAAAGTGAAGAATACTGTAGCCAAAGGAGAATTCACAGAAAGAAATGTAAAAACAAACATATTTACTGCGGGAGGTTGGAGAGAAGAGGGAATGTGGAGAACAGACAAGCTGCCAGGGAAGGTCACAGACCCCTGCCCTCTCCTCCTGGCTATGCTTCCACTCTCCACAGACCATCTCTACCTCATACCTGACAACTCTGCTGCGTGCCCATCTGCATCTCCATACTCAAATTCCAGAGTGGGGCAGTCCACAGAGCCCTGTAATGGAGAAGACTTTGCAGTAACTTGGGAAAAGGAATGAAAAAGGATATTACACTCTCATTTAATACTCATTATACTCTCTTCTTCTCTTAGAGGCGTTAGATCAGGGAGGCAGCTAGGAGAGTCCCATCTGGGCCTTTAATGCAAGAGGTGCCCTCCTCCAAGCCAAAATCCAAGGCTCAGTACAGGGCAGGGCTGAAGGTTCCTATATAAAATCAGAAAATCTGGGTAAAGGGTAGGATTGTGACCAGATATGAAAGCTACGCAATCTGTGCCTGTATCTGACCTACATAAACATGGACCTGAAGAGCATGTAGCTGATTTCTAGAACAATGAGATGAACTAAAACAAAAGAGGTGAGCTGGATTCTAATTTCAGCTATGTCATTAACCCACTGTATGATTTTGGGCAAATCTCGTTTTTTGGATCATAGTTCATTTATTAAAAAAAAAAAAAAAGTCCCTCAGCTCTAGTGTTCCACAACTTCAGGACTGTCAAATAAGGTAGTATTTCTACTCCAACTTGGTTTTTTTTTTTTTTAAAGATTTTATTTATTTGACAGAGCGACAGCAAGAGAGGGAACACAAGCAGGGGGAGTGGGAGAGGGAGAAGCAGGCTTCCCACTGAGCATGGAGCCCGATGTGATGCGGGGCTCAATCCCAGGACCCTGGGATCATGACCTGAGCCGAAGGCAGATGCTTAACGACTGAGCCACCCAGGTGCCCCTACTCCAAGTTGTTTTAAAGCTAGATTTCCTATGATGTTGTATGTATAAATTTATTAATACTATATAAAAATATTTTAATGTGATCCCACCCCCTAACCTCTTTAAGCATTTTGGAGTTATTTCCTACCAGCATACATTATATACAAATTTAAAATTTTTTGAATCTCAGCTATCACCTATTGAAATCTTGAGCAAGTTACTTAACCTGTCTGTGCCTCAGTGTGGTATAAAAAATGTATTTGGTCTTTGACCCTGTTCCAGGCACAGAGCTCCTAAAACCTCTGAAATTTCCTGATAGAAGTGTAATTCATAAGCCCCAGTCAACAATACTTGAGTTTATGCTAATGAGATGACTCCTGGTGAGCCTTTAAGAGTTTCAGGGCTCGCCCCACATCCAGAGAGGGGAGGAAGCTGATGATTGAGTTCAAACAGTGGCCAATGGTTTAATCAACCATGCCTAAGTAATGAAACTCCATAAAAGCCCTAAAACAATGAGGTTTGGGTACACCAAAGTGCTAGAAGGGTGAAACCTAGAGGGCGTTCAATTTCTGCACCATCTCACCCCCATACCTTCTTCTTTGCCTTTCTTCATTTGGCTATTCTTGAGTTTTATCCTTTATAACAAAATTGTAATCATAAGCAGAACAGTTTTTTGAATTCTGTGAGTCACTGTAGCAAATTATGGAATCTGGGGATGGCGGGGTTAGGGGTGGGGGTGGTCATGGAACCTCTGAATTTACAGTTGGCCAGGTAGAAGTGCGTGTAGCCTGGGGGCCCCAGGTGTGGCTGGCATCTGAAATGGGGACTGTCTTATGAGACTGAGCCCTTAACTTGTGGGGTGTGTGCTAACTACAGATAGTGTCAGAACTGAATTGGTGCCAGGGAATTATTGGAAAACGAAGTGCTCAGTTTTCTTATCTGTAAAATGAAGATAACTCATAGGGTCATTATAAGGACTCAATGAGTTAATAGAGAAAAAGCATTTAGGACACTACCCAGCACTTGGTAGTACTATGTAGATGGTTACAGTACTTTGTTGTTTGTTTGTTATTTTATTTAGATTTTATTTACTTATTTGAGAGAGAGAGAGAGAGAGCACTGGAGCAGAGGGGAGGGGTAGAGGGAGAGGGAGAAGCAGACTCCTGGCTGAGCAGGGAGGCGGATGTGGGACTCATCTCAGGGTCCTGGGATCATGACCTGAGCTGAAGGCAGATGCTTAACCAACTTAGCCACCCAGGCGCCCGGTTATACTACTTTGAACTTTACCTACT